GCGCGATCTCGGCTCACCGCAACCTCCGCCTCCTGGGTACAGGCAATTCTCCTGCCTCAGCCTCCTGAGTAGCTGGGATTACAGGCACGCGCCACCATGCCCAGCGAATTTTTTGTAGTTTTAGTAGAGACGGGGTTTCACCATGTTGACCAGGATGGTCTCGATCTGTTGACCTCGTGATCCACCCACCTCGGCCTCCCAAAGTGCTGGGATTACAGGTGTGAGCCACCACGCCTGGCCTGAAATTTAAGTATTTATAAGAAATAATACAAAGAAGGAAAAGTCCTTCCACTGAATTATTTCATATATCATATATTTCATGCATCATATAGCATGTATTTCATATATCCTACACTTGCTACTATAAGGAGTATGAGGTGACCACAACATGTTGAGATTGAGTAGGAAGATAGATTATGACATGGGTGCTTGATGATGTTACTAAGTCACCAAGTTAAACAACCTAGAGCCAGCCCCACCCTCAGGACCGCTGCTTACGTCTAACACAAATCCCCTTATTATTTACGCCATTTTGCAATGGGCTTTCTCCTTATGTGCATTCAATAATATCCCTTCTGATTTGTTCCACCTTAACAGTTTCTTAATAGCCTGTACTTATGCTTCATCATCAATATCATAATGGAATTATTTTTAATTATGTCATGTCTCTCATCTGTTTGACTGTAAGTTTCTTGAGAGTAAAGATTGTGTTTCATACTTTTAGCAGTAACCCCAGTGCCTGGCACACAGTAAGTTCTCAATAAATACTTATAGAATGAATGAATAACTTTATTCATCCAATCTTCTTCTTGTGAATACTTAAGTTGCTTCCAGTTTTTTATTAAAGCTACAATAAAATTCTTGTACGTGTCTCCCACACGTATAGAGAACTTCCCTGTAAATACTTAAGGGTCTTAGAAATGCTGGGTTGTAAATATAAGATACATTTTTTCTTATTCTAATCACTCTAGAATATAATTCAGTATTTTAAAAAATTAGTAGCAATGTATTTTATGTATACAATACATACATGTTTGTTAAACTCATTTTAATATTTGATCATTGATTATTGGGAAACATTGTCAAAGTCTGTTGTGACTCAAGATCATTATTTAGCATATAACTCAATCACCCACCCACCATTTAAAAAAAAAAAAAGAAAGAAATGCTGGGTTGTAAGCTATATAGATTCCGTATTTTTCTAGGTACTCTCAAATTTCTCACAAAGAGGTTATACCAATTTACCCTTCCACCAGCAGTGTTTCACTTTGTATTTCTTCACACCCTTGCTAACACTTGATATAATCAAACCTTTAAATTTTTGTATATTACATCTGATTAAGTAAGTATAGTATCTCATTTTAATTTGCATTCCCCTTATTACCAGGATATGCATTTTCTTATGCTTGACTGGCCATTCAAGTTTCTATTTAAACAGCACCTCTTCACATTCTTGGTTCATTTTTCTTGGGTTATTCATGTTTTTCATATTCATTACATATTCGTTTGTGGTTCTTTATTATTTTGGAGATGAATCTTTCTTGATTATATATGCATAATAATTATTATAAATATATAATTATATATTATATATCTAAGTAATATATTAAATATTTTATTTTATAAAATAACTATAACTATATATATTATATACATTATATGTCTAGATATGTCTATGTGTATATTTATATACACATACATGTATATACATGTAATTATATATATACATGTGTATATATTTTTAATATATATGTATATAAACGTATATGTTTATATACATTAAATATATATGTTATATATGTATATTTTTATATATTTATATAAATATGTAGATATTTTTAATTTTATCTAGTCAAACTGATTAATATTTCCCTTTATAGACTGTGTTTCACAGTTTATACAAGTTCTTGGCTGGCACAGTAGCTCAAGCCTGTAATTCTATCACTTTGGGAGGCCAAGATGGGAGGATCGCTTGAGCCAAGGAGTTCGAGACAAGCCTAGACAACACAGGGAGACCTTGTCTCTATAAAAAATAAAAATAAAAAATTAACTGAGTGTGGTAGCACACACCTGTGGTCCCAGCTACTTAGGAGGCTGAGGTGGGAGGATCACTTGAGCCCAGGGAGGTCAAGGCTGCAGTGAACTATGATTGTGACACTGCATTCCGGCCTGAGCAACAGAGCAAGAAACTGTCTCAAAATACAAAAGTAAGTTCTTCTCTACTCCAATATCATAACTATTCATTCTATAAAACAATGCAATTTAGCTTTAGCACATATTATGGAGCCATAGTAAATAGCACCTATCATGGCATCAGTAAATGTAGGCTAGCTGCTGTTAACATGACTTTTTTTTACTTTTCTATTCTTACCACTCTAGTAAAAATGCCCTCTCAAAAGTCATCAGTAATTTCTCACTGCCAGAACCTATGCCCTCTACTCAGGCTAAAGACCTTTTACACAGCAAAAGAAATTATCATCAAAGTGAACAGGCAACTTACAGAATGGGAGAAAATTTTTGCAATCTACCTATCTGACAAAGGGCTAATATTAAGCAAATTTACAAGAAAAAAACAACCCCATCAAAAAGTGGGCAAAGGATATGAACAGACACTTCTCAAAAGGAGACATTTATGCAGCCAACAAACATGAAAAAAAGCTCATCATCGCTGATCATTAGAGAAATGCAAATGAAAACCAAATGAGATACCATCTCATGCCAGTTAGAATGGCGATCATCAAAGTCAGGAGACAGCAGATGCTGTAGAGGATGTGGAGAAATAGAAATGCTTTTACACTACTGGTGGAAGTATAAATTAGTTGAACCATTATGGAAGACAGTCTGGCTATTCCTCAAGGATCTAGAGCTAGAAATGCCATTTGACCCAGCAATCCCATTACTGGATACTCAAAGGATTATAAATCATTCTATTATAAAGACACATGCACACGTATGTTTATTCCAGCACTGTTCACAATAGAAGATTTGGAACCAACCCAAATGCTCATAATGATAGACTGGATAAAGAAAATGTGACACATATACACCATGGAATACTATGCAGATACACAAAAGGATGAGTTCATGTCCTTTGCAGGGATGTGGATGAAGCTGGAAACCATCGTTCTCAGCAAAGTGACAAAAGAACAGAAAACCAAACACTACATGTTCCCACTCATAAGTGGGAGCTGAACAATGAGAACACATGGGCACAGGGAGGGGAACATCACATATAGGGTCCTGTCAGGGTTTGGAGGTTAAAGGAGGGAAGAGCCTTAGGAAAATACCTAATGTAGATGACGTGTTGATGGGTGTAGCAAACCGCCATGGCCTGTGTATACCTATGTAACAAACCTGCACATTCAGCACATGTACCCCAGAACTTAAAGTATAATAAAAAAAAAAAAAGATATTTCCTTAAGAGCCTAGCATGGTGCCTGGCACCCAATGAGTAACACGAATTATTAAAAGAAAATATAAGATAATTATTGAAAGAATTTGTATACATAGAAATTCAAAGCCATCAAGTAAAGTCAATTTCAGATACTGAAACATCCTTAATAATTTTAAAAATTATCAGTTTTAGATTAACTAAGGTGATAGTTTAATTATCAGAGAATTTGACAAAGAATATTAACATATCAATTCAAATAATATTTACTTAGTATTCATACTGTAAGTCCAAAATTATGGGGATATGACAAAAAATTACAAGATCCTTATCCTCAAGTATTTAACAAGAAACCCAAACCACATGGTAATATATTATGGGTTATATGAAATACAAATACTTAGCAAATATATTGCAAAAGTAGATTAATTTAGAAATGAAACAATGAAAAGTTACATGATGATTTCTACAAAAATTTTTAAATGGTTTACAAATTTTATACTTACCTTCATATTTAAAATGGTAACATTTTCCAAGCAATAATACAGGAGAATTTCTACTAAAATATGTCTTTGTTTTCAACACCCAACCTAACAAAAAAAAAAAAAAAAGAAAGAAAGAAAACGTCTTACAATTAAAAGATTTCAGACTAAAAGTCTAGCAGTATTTTCTTTTGTTTAATTTCAAACCATCAATTATTACTTATGGATGTGCATTTTTGACAACAGTTGCAAAATACAGTATTTGGACAATGAACTGGAAATACAAGCCATTCATCCTAGTTTCAAATAAAGTTAAGAATTTTAAATACACTTTTAAAACTATCCAATTAAAGAACGTAAGAAAGAAAAATATTTAATTTTAATTTATTTTCAGATAGGTCACAATGGTCTTTATCAAGTTCTCACCATGTTCTTATGGTACAAAATTTAAACGGCCAATTGTGCTTTTCCCGAATTTGTATTATCAAGGTGTTTTACTGAATTCTGTTTTCACACTTATTTTATGAATATGAGCTTTTTTCCTATTCAAACTGGTTCTGTCCAAGTACTTCTCCATCTTAGGTAGGCTTCAAAAATCTCCATATAATTCTTATTGGATTTGTATGCAAACCAAAAGGAACTAGGTTAAAAATAAGATCTAGGAGAAATATCAGAGGTATCAGTGCAGGAACTTTACAGTCTATTTTCTGTGTGAAGAGGCCTATTTTGCTTATTTCCTGGCACAGAGATGAGGCTGCCTGAAATTGTATCTGAAAAGCCAAAGTATTATCATCACCTGAATAAATTCTATATGCTTTAGAACACCAAAAAAAAAAAAAAAAAAAAAAACTATACAAGCCACGAGGATATTAATATACTCTAGCAACTTGAAAAAAAAAAGAGGGGGGAGACCACATCATATGCTTGAGTTTCTAAGCAATGTTTATGATAATACTTGGCTCCTTCTTCGGGAGACAGTTTTAACTATATTCCTTATAGAAATGTTTCATTCAAAGTAAAGTGTGCCAGCCAGGCTTGGTGGCTCACGCCTGTAATCCCAGTACTTTGGGAGGCCAAGGTGGGCAGATCACCTGAGGTCAGCAGTTCAAGACCAGCCTGGGCAACATGGTGAAACCCCATCTCCGTTTAAAAACAAACAAACAAACAAAAAAAGTAAAGTATCCATTTGTTCTCAAGTAATTGTCAGTGACTTAAGAAGGAAGCTGATGTATATTGCCAAATATTTCTCTGGATTTATACAACTTTTAAAACATGATGCTTACTATATTTCATGTTGTTCCAAGCAGATATAAATTTAGTTTTTAGCTTGTCAACTTCATCTGTTCCTGTAGCCTCCATATTCAAATTCTAAAGGAACAGCCATCACTTGATTGCATTCTTCTGTAGAGTTTAATCTTTTATACTCATTAAAAATTCCTTTAAAAACTCCTTTAAAAAATTAAGGAAAAATAAGAAATTAGTATACAGTATATATGGTTATATAAAGCCATACCTGTTAAAGTTACTTAAGTGATTAAATACAATTTAACTGGAAATGAACAAAACAATTTCTCTTTTACCATCAGAAATAAACAGAAAACCAATTTCTCATCTACAAACAAAAATCTTATAGAATAAGATATTCTATATTTTAATTACAAAAAACCTTTACTACCAAATATGCAGCAATAAACCTAGCAATAATCTCCTCCAGTTGTTCACAGCTGAATACAATAAATCAGTTTAGTAACACAGCTCTGCTCTGGTGCATTGGTGCTAGTGAGAATATTCGAAATTTTTTTTATCGGTAATTAGAAAAGGTGATTTGAAATCTTATTAAAAAGATCTTGACTATCTTCAGAATGAAGACTTCCACTTACATTGATTAGTCAGTACTTTCACATAAAGTCTAATTATTTTGTTTTGTTTTTTGAATAAGACATTTCCTACATTTCCTTCCTATTTCCATACTGCATCAGTTAAAAAAACAGAATGGCTTAAATTTATAACGGAAAACATTTTCTTACTTTAAAATAGAATAAATGTAGCTCATAAGTGATTGTTTTATTACTGACTTCAGGGAAAATTGAGATGTGTGACATAAGCTGAAAAGGAACAAATTATAACTGAAAATGCTTGTGCTTATTTGCAATAATTCACAGACAGTTTACTTTTCAAGAAAAGAATGCTGCACAGAACATTACCCTTTTAGGGTTATAAATATCTACTCTAAAATATTGATACATTCATTTCTATTACAAAAGACATTCCATTTTATAATGTGTATTAAAAGTTACTAATCATACATCATAGTTATGAGCCAGGAGAAAGCATGGTCTATTAGAGGAACTTAAAAAGTCAATGTGACTAGAAAACAGAAAAGCCTAAAAAAATTTTTTAAATGGCATGAGATGAGGCTGTATGGTTATACAGATCCCAAAGCACAAAGGGTCTTGTCGACCAGGTTAAAAATTTTGTTCTTTATCCTAAGAGCAATTTGTTTCAAACAGGAATATCATAACCAGATTCAGGAGGTTGGTTTGTTTTACTTCAATAGCAGCATGAAGAAGAACATGGAAAGGAACAAGAATAGACAATGAGTTTACTCCTACAGGTTGAGTATCCCTTATCCAAAATGCTTGGGAGTGTTTGGATTTCTACATTTTTAAAAATATTTGCATTATGTATACTTACTAGTTGAGCATCATTAATCCAAAAATCCAAAATGCTCTAGTGAGCATTTCCTTTGAGCATCATATTGGCACTCAAAAAGTTACAGATCCTGGAAAATTTTAGTGTCTGATTTTTAGATTAGGGATGCTGAACCTATATTATACAGGACTAGGAGACGATAGCTTGGACTTGGAGCAGTGAAGATGGAAAAATGGACAGCTGAGGAAGCATGTAGAAAATTCAGTATGTCTTGGTGATAACAATGGATATGGAAGGTAAAGAACAGGGATATGCCAAAGCTGGTGCCAATCACTGAAATAGGAAACATCAGGAAAGGGAGAAGTTAGAGGGTGAAGACTATGAATTTGATTTGAGATATGTAGTATTTAAGATGTCTCTGAGAAACACAAGCAAAGAATCGTTTTGTTTTTTTGTTGTTGTTGTTCTTTTTTTTGAGACACAGTCTCACTCTGTCGCCCAGACTGGAGTGTAGTGGTGCAATCTCAGCCTCACTGCAACCTCCGCCTCCCGGGTTCAAGCAATTCTCTGCCTCAGCCTCCCGAGTAGCTGGGATTACAGGTGACTGTTACCATACTTGGCTAATTTTTTTGTATTTTTAGTAGAGATGGGGTTTCACCATCTTGGCCAGGCTGGTCTTGAACTCCTGACATTGTGATCCACCTGCCTCGTTCTTCCAAAGTGCTGGGATTACAGGCGTGAGCCACCACACCTGGTCGTTCTTTTCCTTAATCATTAGATAAATTATTGCCAGGTAGTGTTCTAGGCACTGCAAGTACACTGAGAACAAAGACAATGAAATATCTGCTTCCTTGGAACTTACACTCTAGCTACATTCTCGGGATGTCAATCAACTAGGCAGTTGGATATATAGCTCTGGAGCTCAAAGGAGAGGTCTGGGCTAGGCATACGGATTTGAGAACTGCTGATGTATATATGAGAATGAAAGCTATAAACACATTCCTCAGGGACTCTGCTTTGTTTGTTTATACACCTAGCACTTGGCACACAGTTCCTGGTACTTAAGGATATCTAAGAACCTTCATGAAATAACCTCTGCCTACTTACCAGCTTCCTCTTTTACTACTTCACATGCAGCATATGCTGAAACTACATTTAATATTAATATAAAAGCTTCCTGAACTTGGTATGTTGTCAGATACCTCCATATCTTTGCATCTGTTCCCTCTACCTCAAGTGCCTTACTACACTCTCACTGTATGACTACCTTACTAACATGGAGTCCCTCAAACCCAGCTTCAGTTTCACTTCCTCTGGCAAGATTGGTAAGATTTCCTGACTACTCTCTCCAAACTTCAAACTAAGATAGATGTCCTCCTCTTAGTTCTCATAGGATCCTATGTTTTCCTGGATCATCACACTCATTGCACTATACTGTAACTGAATGTCCTTAAATTCTGCCAGGCACACAATTGGTTCTCAAAAATATTTATTAAAGGAATCAATGAACTGATATGAAATATAGGTATATCACTAGCAGCACTCTCACCAGAATTAGAATTTTTTTTAACTGACACTAGAATAAAGAAAAGAAGAATTTTCCTCAAGAAAACTGCATATATAATTTAGCAAATTCTAGAAAAGCAAGAAAAGGAAGAGAGTTTATAAAATGTGTGAATTATATATAGTGCATCCACATGATGGATTATACATCCATTAAAAATGTCTCCTAAAATGGGGAAACACTATGCAGAATCTGAAACTTATGTATCATATGACACAGGAAGGCAGGGACAGCAGGGGGGAATGAAAGGAGTTAGAAAGTAAGAAAAGAAGTATACCAAAATATTAAAAGTAGTTTCTCTGTGGTTATTTTTATACCACGATTGCCCACATTTTCCTAATCTTACACATTGATTATTTTTTATTTTTTTAGAATTTATTATTTTTAGAATTTAAAAAATTTATATTTAAAAAGCCACCAAGCTTGAATCTTTTAAATCTAAAATTTTTAAATGAGAGAATGTACATGCATGTATCTTCTTCCTAAGTCAGAAAGAAAGAAGGCCACAGGGAAGAATTTTTGGTTCAGACAGTTCCCATCACCAGCCACCAGTAGTGGCTGGAGGACAGTCCTCAGCAAGTGTGAAAATCAAGAAGCCTTAAACCAGATGGGGAAAAAATAAAGACAGTGAGCAATTAGACATGTTATATGGAGAAGTCTGTATCTTAGATAATGACTCCTAAGTAAATAAATAAGCAAGGTAAGATGCTCGGACAAACTCACAGAGGCAGAGTATGAAGGATGGGAAGGGTAATGAGAGCATTGGGGAAAGGTGGGAATGGTTAATGGGTACAAAAAGAAAAATAGAAAGAATAAATATGACCTAGTATTTGATAGTCCAACACGGCGATTATAGTCAATAATAATTTAATTGAACATTTTAAAATAACTA